CGCCCCCGCGCTGCACTGCGGCGGAATGCATGTGTGGCAAGGGGCTCGCTGGTGCATGGCTGTAACCGCTGAGCCATTGGCCGTGTTCGCCGTGTGTCTGTGTGCGTGCAGCCACTATGAGCACCTACTGGAGGTTGTGCCCCCATGCCCGACGTCCTCCGCTGTCCCCTTTGCCACCCACGTCACTAGCGTGAGCCGCTGATGCCTGCTTGCTGCCTGCCTGTTGGCTGGCCGCCTGGCTCGCCGGGTGCGCGGCGCCCAGAGTCGCGGCGCGCGCCTGGCCTTGGCACCTGCTTGGTCTGGAGCCACTCTGCGGCGAATGCGCCGCTGCCGCCGCCGCCGCCCGACGCGCGTGCCAGCCCTGCCATGCCTGACCCGCGCCTGCAGGAGGAGATCGGGAAGCTGACGGTGCGCGACGGGGTGTGGACTAAGGCGGCGCCGCGGTCCGAGTCCTTCATCCTCCAAAACTCCAAGGCCACAGACTTTCTAAACTACTGGACCCTCAACTTTGACCTCTCCTTCCTGTCCGACTCCGCCAGCATCGCCGAGGCCTCCCTGTACATCTTCCTGGCCGCCGCCAACACCGACAGCCAGTCGATGCCCAGCCTGTCGCTGGAGGTGTTTGACGGCACCAAGAAGTTTGCTGAGGGCTGCCAGGCCAGCTGCTCCGCCGACACCAACGGCGTCACCTGCTTCAAGTGCTCCCCAAACATGGCGGCCGTGGGGCAGGCGCCCTGCGTCGCGCCCGTGTGCGACGGAGACAAGGTGCGCAGCTGCGCCGCACGAGTGTGGGTGCTGGTCGCCCTGCTCGCCTCTCTGGCCCACCACTGGCTGCTTGCTTGGGGCCGGCAGCCGCTCTGCCGTGCGACTCCACCCCGCCCATGCACCTCCCGCCCCGCAAACCGCCGTCGCCCCCGTTGTTTGCCGCAGATCGGCGACGGCAGCTTCAAGGGCTCGGACACCAAGCTCTTTGTGAAGCTGGATCTGACCGCATCCCATGTGAGGACGTTTGTGGGTGCTGGCAAGGGCCTGATGCCGCTGACGGTGGTGATGCCACGTCAGCGCAGCTCCCCGCTGGACGGCGCCAGCCTCCAGACACTGGTGGGCGGCTCGCCCGCCTTCCTCGTGATGCGCGGCAGCTGCTCGGCCGCAAATTGATGCCCCGCTGGCTGTGCGGCCTCTTATGGAAGTCATCCCCCCCTTTTTCGGCATATATTGCGTTTTCGTTTCCCCTTGTTGAGAAGAACACGTTAGTTTGCTCTTTCCGCAGACCCTGTACTTACAGCGTGCTTACTCATGATAGCAACACGCTGTAATGCGTCACCTGGCCTGCTCAAATGGACGTCTGTGGCCGCTTGAGCGGCGGGGCACCCGCCGCCTTGTCAGCTCCAGCTATTTAGCTAGCGGCGCGCCCCCATCTTGGCACAAACCCGCCATCACCAGCTCAAATGTGTGCATCGCAAGAGTTCAGCTGAGCGCTGTCGACACCAGGGGAGGCGCAAAAGTTCCAGACTGATTCTGCTGCGCTGCCAGCACGGTTCAAAGGTGTGCGCATCGCAGCCAGAAACGCGTGTTGCATCTATCGTGACTGCCTCCCGGTGGGACTGCCCAGGCCTGCCGCCGCTGCCGCCGCCGCGCAGATGTGCGGCCGCACGCGGCAGACCCTGGGCGAGGAGCAGGTCCTGCACGCTGCCGGTGCACGCCGCTGGGTCGACCGGCAGCAGTACCAGCCCAGCTACAACGCGGCCCCGGGGTTCCCCGCCCCGGTGGTGCGCGCAGAGGGGGATGAGACGGTCGTCCACACCATGAGGTGTGGCTGTGCTGTGCTGTGTTGTGCTGCGCTGTGCGGTGCTGTGGTGCGCTGTACCTGGGCTCTACTTCAATGGTGCTGAGCGTGCTGAGTGCGTATGGCGCTAGCTGCAGCGTGCGCTGGGGCATGGAGTGCAAGGCAGCTGGGGTGGGCGTGTTTGCTCATATGCCTCTCTGGGCAGGCGCTGATGGGCAGCAAGCGCGCGCTCCTGCAGGTGGGGGCTGGTGCCCAGCTTCACCAAGCTCAACGACAAGCCCGACTATTGGCGCATGGTGAGCGGCGGCACGCTGGCCAGCCGCCTGCTGTGTCCTGTGCCTGCATGAGGCGCCCACACGTCGCGTCCGCCGCCCGCCACGCTCAGCCACGCTCCCACCTGCGGCCCGACCCTGCAGTTCAACGCGCGCAGCGAGTCGCTGGCTGAGAAGCCGTCCTTCCGCCGCCTGGTGCCCAGCAAGCGGTGCCTGGTGCTGGCCGAGGGATTTTACGAGTGGCAGAAGGCGAGCGGGCGCCGCGCACCCCTGCCAGCCCGCCAGCCCAGGCCTCCCTTGGTGCATCCCTGCTTGCCCAATCCCTCTCGTCTTACCACCCTACCACTGCAAAGGATGCGGCCCGCCATGCATGCATGGGACGCAGCCTGCCTGGCGCCCTTCCTCAGCTCTCGCCACCCCCGTGGATGTGCTGCGCCCCGCATTTTCATTTTGTGGTATACAGCAAAGAGCCCCCTCGCTCTGCAGGAGAAGGCC